ACAGTCTACGACGTACGCTGCCTTAAAAGTTGGTGGAAAATTCATTTATTATTTAGGCAACCTTCGCTAGATGGCGTTAAGGTAAATGTATTAAAAAGCCAATCCCGAGCAATTACTAAAGCCGACGGTGGTAATCCTAGCTGAGTGCGCTAAAGTGTTTAAGGTTTTCTTCACAACGGCAATTTGAAATTGATCAATAAACTTTAGATGTAAGTTAAGGACAGAGTTAGGTTATTTGTTAGATCAAGGGCGTTGGAAAAGAGGCGGACGTAATGACACTTAGAAATAATTGAAGTACGTAATGTCACTTGTTTGCACCAAAATGTCAAAGGTGTATTTATGTGTGCGTGCAGTTGCAACACCGTAATGTGTGAAGTGTAGGCGGGACGCGTGAGGCAGCGAAGCGCTGCCTCCTCGCAACCCAGCCATCGCGAAGGACACACCGGGCGTCGGGGATCGCGGGACGATCTCCGGCCACCGTAAGCGCGGGCCTGCGGACGGCGAGCATGGGTGGCTCCCCGTCCGACCAGAAACAGACCCGAGCGTACGGCGCGTCGCGTTCCGCGCGCGCCTCAAAGAGCCATCAGACCACCACAGATGGGGCCCAATAGGGCCGATGCCGATTCGGAGTCGCGGAGAACCTAACGGGTAACCGGGGCTCCGGCTCGACGTGCAGGAGAAGGAACGGGGTGGTTTTTAGTCAGTAAGAGTCTGACACTCCCTCCCGCCTCACCCAGGCGGGGGCAGTCATTCGATGATTTTCCCCCCTTAAACGCCTCACCCAGGCGGGGGCAGTCATTCGATGATTTTCCCCCCTTTAAAAAAAAAAAAAAAAAGTATGAAGTGTCATCGCAACTGTCGTGGTGGCTCGGAGGTTTAAGACGTCTGCTTCTCATGCATGAGAGTGCGGGGTCGAAACCTATCAACGGCAAGTACCAATGCGACTTTTTCCGAGTTATATGTAGGTACTTTCTAAGATTATTTATACACCACTGACAAACGGTGAAGGAAAAACATCGTGAGGAAACCTGGGCTTATAATTTCTAATTATAAGTTTGAAATCGCCAACCCGCATGCGTGCGGGCGTGGTGATTAATGCTCTAACCTTCTCCGTGTGAGAAGAGGCTTTGCTCAGCAGTAGGCATTTATAGGCTGTTGATGATGAATGTATGAAGTGTAATGACGGGCCATGTCACACGACAGATGTCCTTCATGTCAATGTGTGTGTATTCTGCGTGTAAGTCTATAGTAGCCAGGTGCCACAGGCGCTGTTTCAAGAGACTGTATTCGCGTTTTATCAACGTCCTTGTGCTAGATTTTTATTTAAGTACTAGCTTTTTCCCGCGGCATCGCTCGCATCATAAATGCATAAAAAGTAGCCTATGTGACATATACCAATGCACACAGCGCCATCTATACCAATAATTTGACTGCACGGTTGGTGCGGTGGCTGGGCAACCGGCTGCCGTGCAACGTGTCGCGGGTTTGATTCCCGCACGGAACAACACTTTGTGTGATCCACAAATTGTTGTTTCGGGTCTGGGTGTCATTGTGTATGTGAACTTGTATGTTTGTAAACGCACCCACGACACAGGAGAAAATCCTAGTGTGGGGTAACGTTTTTTTAAATTAGAATAAGATAAGAATTTTGTTTTTGAATATCAAATTTTTCCGGGATAAAAAGTACCCCATTATTCAATCCGGACTTCTAACTTTACGTCTGCAAAAATTGAAAGCAATCGGTTTAGTAGTTACGGCGTGAAAGCGGAACAAACAAACAAACAAACAAACTCACTTTCCGATTTATAATATTAGTAAGGATTAGGTCTCATTGTGTGTCAACACAGATTTGTCATCAACCTTGCTCTTGTCGCTCTTCGCGTGTAGTAAGCAGACGACGACTATCCTTTTAAACTATACTTGCTATAGATATCGCAGAATCAACAAAGATGCGCAGCTATCGAGTATCGTTATTTTAGAACAACGCCATCTGTTATCATTTGTCGGAAACGTCAAGCAGTGTGCTTGGGTGATGGTCGGTACGGGGCGTGGCATGTTGGCATTTTGAAAGGCGTCACTTTTGAGTTGGACACGAGGGTGAGCGGTTGTTCTGCCAGCCCGTACCGAACTTACCGCATTTACGAAGAATCCGATGACGGAGTACCCCCAATGGGTGCATTTTCTTCGACAGATATAATAAAGCAATGCTTGCTAACTGACCTGATAAGAGTGGAGACAAATCCTCTTCAACAGGAGAGATCCAACAGTAACCAACCAAGCGTTGGACGAATAACGGACACAGTTTTTTGAAATAAAGACTGTGGCAACTACAGCTGTAGCCAAATGCCATTTAGCGCTTGTCTACTTGTAGAGTAGAAAACTATTATAAGGAATTGACACTTGTCAGTGTCATCCCCATATATTTTAGTTTTCTACTCTCTCTCTGTAAACAAGCGCTAAAGTGGCGTTTGGCTAATATAAAGACACTGGTTACTATAGACTTAAATAACATCATAAAATCACGCCTTTTATTCCCGAAGGGGTAAGCAGAGGTGCACATTACGGCACTTTATGCCACTGTTCAATACAACACCCACTCATGTAATAGCCAGTGAGCCTATTGCCATATACCGGGCACAATTCTACACTCTGTGCTGTTTTTTTTTTAAAGCCTAGTAACCCTTTGCCCGACCCGGGAATCGATCGACCGGGAACTCAAGACTCCTTGCCCGGTAGTCGCACTTGCGATAACTCTGCCAACCAGGCACTCACTATATACTTACACGCAGAACACAAACACATTGACACGAAGGACATCTGTCTTTTTCTTAAGTCTGGTAACGTGGTTACCTCATTACACACGCACACATAAATAACCCATTGACATTTTGATGCTTCAATCGTTTCTATTGATATTGAGCAAGCGTGGTGATTAATGCTCAAACCTCCGTGTGAGAAGTGGCTTTGCTCAACAGTGGGCATATAATGATTGTTGATGATGATGATAATGAGAGCACAGTTAAGTCACCGAATATTTAGAAGACGCTGCTGCCTATTCCTTCCTCAGCTTCCCCGGCAAGTGGTCATCGTATTATATCATATTTTGAGTTAAAAATAAAGGCAATTTTGCGTCGAAACTTATATGTACCACAGTATGAATCAGGCTTTATTTCGCATGGCCTAAGTGATTAGTAATTTAAGCTGAAATTCAGAGCGTCAAAGGATATGGATAGCTAGGTGCTAAGTCATCTTAGAAGAACATAGACCCCTAAAAGTTTCTCGACTCCGTCGATAGATGGCGTTATTTTTTGATACAATTTGCTCGTTTTTATCATTTTCATTCCATCGGTATGATGGAATAAATAATTGTATTCTTTCGACCAGATGATGTATGTAGGTAGTGTTGACTTTATGTCATCCCCATACATTATCTATTATTCTAATAACGATATCGCTTCTTATTTGGCTAGGAACACAGATCTTGTTTAAGACGATTTTGCTTTGTGATCTCACAGCCTCCGTGGCGCAATGGCTAGCGCGTTCGGCTGTTAACCGAAAGGTTGGTGGTTCGAGCCCACCCGGGGGCGATTTCTTTTACACTATTTTTTTTTATGTGTAGGCAATTGGCCTCTTTTTCGACTGTTGGTAAGCGATGATGCAGCCTATGATGGAGTACGCCTGCTCATAAATAAACAATTTACTCGAGGCTTGAAGACACCCATTGGCAGACTCAGGCAAAAAGCCCCACTTCTTTGACTGTTTCCACAAGTAAACCTGAAACTCTTAATGTTTTATCACTACTTACTGCCATTGCCATGTCTACTGCGAGGCCTGCGGACGGCGAGGATGGGTAGCTCACCGCCCAACCAGAACCAGACCCGAGCGTACGGCGTGTCGCGTTCCGCGCGCGCCTCAAGGAGCCATCAGACCACCACGGATGGGGTCCAATAGAGTTGATGCCGATTCGCAGCCGCGGAGAACCTAACGGGTTACCGGGGCTCCAGCTCGAAGTGCAGGAGTAGGAACGGGGTGGTTTTTAGTCAGTCAGAGTCTGACACTCCCTCCCGCCTCACCCAGGCGGGAAAAGTCATTCGATGATTTTCCCCCCTTAAATAAAAAAAAAATTGCCATGTCTACTAGGAAGTAAGTTAACCTAATCATGATAAAAAATTGTGTTGTTAACAAAAATAATGTGAAAATACACATTAAACGACATTACCTTCACCACAAATATCTAGTCATGATTCTTACTGATTATTTTTTAACTTCGCCTCAAGGACAGCGGATATTTTGTGGTTTATATTATTTTATTCATTTGATTTAAAGAGTCGTCAATGTTCAATGAAATTGCAAATTCTTAACGAGATAAATGGTCAAGATTATGTAATTGTAGTGATGTGTTTACTGTTGTTTATAAATCTGTGTCAAATCCTTGTTTTAATTAAGTATATTGCACGTATTGTACGCCCTAGAGGCAAAACAGCGCTCAACATATTACATAAGAACTTATAATGTACCTATGTTTTACAATGAATAAATGAATCTTGAATCTTGAATCTTGAAGGACGTTTATATAATAACTATCGTGAGACATAAGTACTAAATTAACTAAAAGTTGCGCGTGACTCACATGAATATACTGAGGAAAGATCTACTAATATCAGTGTCAGTAACAATAGGCTGCGCGACATCGCCGCGACTGCACACGCTGCTTATGAGAAAGAACCCTTCTGTGGCTAGTAATTAGTCGGCCTTTTCTCAGTATTTTCACGTGAGTAACCCGCGATTTTTAGTCAATTGTCTCAAAGACGTAGAAAATTTCAATGTCCATGGTCCTTGTTTCGTCTGTAAAAAGTACTAAAACATCCATCTTACCAAAGAGTTTGACACAGAAGTAGTATACGACATAAATTCGATGGACAAAATAAAAGAAAATAATAAGAAATTTTGACAACACAAAATTCTGTCACAAACCTGAAACCAAAGAAATCATGATAATAATTAAGTAATTCAGTTAAATAACCCAATAGACAAAAATGGATTCACTAATAACATTAAGGAAAATTAGCAGAATTGAAATAGTATGCCGGAGAACGTTATAAAATATTTTCATAGCAGAAACAGACGAAATTTATGATAACCTCAAAACAGAAGAACTAGAAAATTTTTAATAAAACAGCAAAATGTTTAACGAAGACGGTAATTTTTTTTGTATACATCATAACATCATGCCTTTAATCCCCGACGGGGTAGGCAGAGGTGTACACTATGCCACTGTACAACTTATAATTAGAAATTATAAGCCCAGGTTTCCTTACGATGTTTTCCTTCACCGTTTGTCAGTGGTGTCTAAATAATTTTAGAAAGTACATAACCGTGAAAAGGTCGCATTGGTACTGGCCGTTGTTGGTAGGTTTCGAACCCTCATATATGAGAAGCGGGCGTCCTAAGCCTCCAGGCCACAACGACTATTAAAATCGTTTAACATAAAAAATATTTTTAATGTGTTCTACAGAGGATGAGGAGGCCACTATGGGTGCCGTCAGGTACCCAGTCATGCCATCGCTAGTGGCTCTGCAGCAGATGAGAAACAGGATGCATCTCGCATACCTTGGCAAGAAATTAATGAAGTGGACCGCTATGGCTACTAGCAAAGAGCTTAGACGAATAGCTGTCGAAATTGCAAAGTAAGCTGTACTTTAAAGTAGTAATAATATTTTTGTGGTTATCACTCACACGATTAATTCTCCTCGTCTCCATTTTTCCAATACACAATTTTTTATGGTACAAACCTGTAAACGAGCTGACATATCGGATTGCTTACCATCAGGAGATCCGTCTGCTCGTTTACCAGCTTGTCCCATCAAGTACCTGATATATGATGATGATGATGATAGAACCATGTTATTATAATATTATTTTTACGGTGTATCGCGTTCTGCGCGCGCCTCAAGGAGCCAATAGACCACCACAGATTGGGCCCAACAGGGCTGACGCCGATACGGATCCGTGGTGGACTTAACGGGTTGCCGGGGCTCCGGCGCGAAGTACAGGAGTAGGAACGGGATGGTTTTTAGTCAGTAAGAGTCTGACACTCGCTCTCACCTCTCCCAGGTGGTAGAAGTCATTGGATGATTTTCCCCTTAAATAAATTTAATTATTTGGTTTCAGTGCCCTCAAAGAATATGGTACCAAGATGCAGTTGGGCTTCATTCTATTGGCCAGAGCAAGATATTTTGTCCCACACATAAATACTACGGTTTTGGAGTGCATACCCAAAGTCGTGAGTACACCTAATTATTATATCCATCAGACTTTAAAATGTTTGGATGTCATGGATGTTTGTTTGGATGTTAGGATGTTTAAATGTTTTAATGTTTCAAACTCAAACTCAAACTCAAAAGCATCTATTTCAATTAAACCATAATTTGGTACTTTTGAAACGTCAACAAATATGAAATAAATAATAGCCAGCCAGTCTGCTCGTAAGTGAAGCTAGGCGCTCGTTCCAAAATGTCGATTCGAGTGGAGAAGAACGAGCAAGAAACACCATTCGTTACTCTTTTAAAAAAAAAGTCTGTTTTACACTGCTCTGCTATATATTCCATTTGTTTGGATGTTTGAATGTTTGGCAGTATGGATGTATAGATGTGTAGAATTGGTTTGGATTATGGATGTATGCATGTATCGACAAATGGTTGTCAGTCTTGATCACTTTTACGCAAAATCTACTAATATCTTGATAAAGTTTTATGTACAAAGTAATAGTCTTGTCTGGAATAATGCTATCGGTATTTTTTTTCTGCAAACGCGGATGAAGCCGTTGTCGGAAGCGAGTATGTAGTTTGTATTGGAAGAAAATGCGAATACCAACGTGTTTTTCTTACACATCTTTTTTCAAGGGGGTGAAACATCGAATGACTGCTCCCGCCTGGGTGAGGCGGGAGGGAGTGTCAGACTCTTACTGACTAAAAACCACCCCGTTCCTTCTCCTGCACGTCGAGCCGGAACCCCGGTAACCCGTTAGGTTCTCCGCGACTCTGGATCGGTGGTCTGATGGCTCTTTGAGGCGCGCGCGGAACGCGACGCGCCGTACGCTCGGGTCTGTTTCTGATCGGACGGAGAGCCACCCTGGCGGTGGCCGGAGATCGTCCCGCGATCCCCGACGCCCGGTGTGTCCTTCGCGATGGCTGGGTTGCGAGGAGGCAGCGTTTCGCTGCTTCACGCGTCCCGCCTCCTCCTTACCTAGCATAACTGCTTCGCAAAAGAAGGAGACGGCATCCCAGTCCCCCTAACTCCGCATCATGACCTGCACTAGGCCCGGACGCGAGAGTTCGACATCACCGATCACTTCCCTGAGGGCACGGCGGTGCTCAGCCCACGCAGGGCATTCCCCCACTATGTGTTCCACCGTGTCCTCAGGATGGTCCTCGCAGTGATGACACCCTTGCGTTTCCTCCCCCCCATCAGACACAGGTACCTCCCAAAATTCCATGTCCGGTGAGGACCTGCGTCAGGCGGTAGGTGAGGACGCCGTAGCGTCTCTCAAGCCACTCCTCAAAGAGGGGACTTACCGCTGCAATGGCAGCGAGGCCAGCCCTCGGTTGCGACAGTCGTTGCTGCCATTCCACCATGAGATCGCGCCGGAGCTCTTTCCGCTACGCACTTATCTGGCGCGGCAACGGAGTTTCGCCCCGGTGACGTGCCTTCGCGCGTATGTGATACACGCGCGCGAGCTCCTTCGCCTCCAGATCCCACGGCGGTAATACGGCAAGGAGGTTCGCCGCGGGCATTTATAGGGTGTTGATGATGATGATGATGACTTGAGACTTAGTACGAAAAAAAAAAAGATATAATTATACAGGTAGACTTGATGCATTGGGCATTGTGTAACAGTCGACCTTTAGGTGGTTAGTCGAATTTTAGCTCAGAGACAGAAAATGTTCCAAAAAGTGTTTTAACGGTCGGAAAGATTAACTATGTTGTTTTAGAAAATCGGAAGTCATTAAAAAAAAAGTATTAAAAATTTTACTATCGCCCCCGGGTGGGCTCGAACCACCAACCTTTCGGTTAACAGCCGAACGCCCTAGCCATTGCGCCACGGAGGCTTATATTTCCAATGTCTAAAAAGTGATAATAGTTCTATGTCTGTGTATTTGAACGTACATAAATATATAATTCAGTACTTAATCATGATAACATAACATAACATCACGCCTATTTTCTCCGAAGGTGTAGGCAGAGGTGCACTTTACGACACCCACTCAATGCCGCTGTACAATGTAACACCCACTTTTTACTATTTATGTTATGAGTCCCATGTAATAGGAATAAGTAAGTCTATTGCCATACACCGGGCAAAATTCCAGACTCCGTGCTACTATTTAGATTTTTTTTAAACCCAGTAATTTTTTGCCCGACCCGGAAATCGAACCCAAGACCCGGCAGTCCGCACTTGCGACCACTCGGCCATCGACTCAGTTAACACTAAAATTATATTAATAATAAACAATTAAATTGAAGTTGATAATAACACTGCCCGACTCGGTAATCGAACTAGAGACTTTTTTTCCGAACTTCGAACCTCAAACCTTTTAACTTCTATGAAAAACCTTCCTTTTAAAACCCGACTCGCACTTGGCCGGTATATTTGAAGCTTAAATTCAACGCCTCCGTGGCGCAATGGCTAGCGCGTTCGGCTGTTAACCGAAAGGTTGGTGGTTCGAGCCCACCCGGGGGCGACTTATTTTTGCTCATACAGCCCCAGATTTTTTGGTACTTTTTGAAATGATCAAATGAAATTGGCATTTAGCATAGGCATGTTGTCAGCGTCTCTTTTCTAATTCTTCTGTTTTAATTTTTCAACTCTTATGTTTTTATTACTTTTACCTTGATTGTCTTTTTTATATTTTACTAGCGACCCGCCCCGGCTTCGCACGGGTGCAATATGCATGTATTATACATACAAACCTTCCTTAAGAATCACTCTATCTATTAAAAAAAAACGGATCAAAATCCGTTGCGTAGTTTTAAAGATCTAAGCATACATACGGACATACAGCGAAAGCGACTTTGTTTTATACTATGTATTGATTTATGCTGCATCGTGCCTGGTGCTAAATAAAGGTTTTTTCCTTCTTTCTAAATCAAATGAAATGAAATGAAAAGAGTTTTATTCGGCATACGGCATGAATGCAAGGAACAAAAAATAACAATACAATACAATTTGATAAAACAAATGAAAAGAAAAAAAAATTAACACAAGAGGGTGTGAATAAAAAGATAAAAACTAAATTATAAAACTAGAAGATTATAAAAATCGATAGGTATAATATAATATTTAAGTTCTGCGCGATATTGGCAGATCTAGATTTTTAATATTACATTATTTTTTCAAGTTAGGCACTTCATTCTAAAGTCTAATATGTAGTTCTCTATACACTGAAGTTTCAAAATTGTATTCAAAATACGAATTTACCTGAAAAGTACCTACTACCTACAAGGGAAAATCAAATTGCAAATATTTAAACTGTCAACCACCAAGCGGTCACCGGTGACCGCTTGGTGTTTGACAGTTTAATTTAAATTTTAAAACACATCAAAATTAGTCTAGCCGTTTTCGAGATTTGCACTCAATAATACGACATTTATTTATAACTAATTTAAATCTAGATAACTAATTAACATAACATACATAACATAACGTAACATCACGCCTTTTATCCCTGAAGGGGTAGGCAGAGGTATACATTATGCCACTGTACAATGTAACACCCGCTTTTCACTATTTATGTTATGAGTCACATGTAATAGGGGGTGAGCCTATTGCCATATACCGGACACAATTCCAGACTCCGTGCTACTACTGTGAATTTTTTGAAAAACCTAGTAATACTTTACCCGGGAATCGAACCTGAGAAACTCTTGCCCGGCAGTCGCACTCGGCCAATGAGGCAGTCGATAATTAATTAAATATACTAATTTATCGCAATAATGTTAAAAGATAAAGCTGCATGCTCTAGTTATATTTTATCTTAATTGTAGTTTTTTTAATCGGTTTTGACGAATATTTGTTATCTTTTTATGGAAAACACGTAAAGATAATTTAATTAGACGTGTATTTTCTTGATGATTACAAACAGAAACAACGACACAAGTACATCCTACTAATTACTACATCCTTATCCTTACTTCCTTACTAATATTATAAGTGGGAAAGTGAGTTTGTTTGTTTGTTTGTTTGTTTGTTCCACTTTCACGCCGTAACTACTAAACCGATTGCTTTGAAATTTTGCAGACGTAAAGTTAGAAGTCTGGATTAAATAATAGGGTACTTTTTATCCCGGAAAAAATGTGTATTATCGAGGGAAAACGAAATTATTGGTATAAATGGCGCTGTGTGTATTGGTATATGTCACATAGGCTACTTTTTATCCTTTTGTGACGCGAGCGAAGCCGCGGGTAAAAGCTAGTAGTAACTATAAAACAAAGTCGCTATTCGCCATCTGTCTGTCCCTATGTATGCTTAAACTGTCAAAGAGGACACCGGTGACCGCAACCTATTGTTCTTTAATTGTGTCTATAATGACGGTACTCAAAGGGATAAATTGTATTAGTTATTGTAGTGCATCGGGGGGGATGTTTGCAGTGGCGTAGGTGGACGGCTTCTATGCTATTCTTCGCAAAAGAATTGAATCCCTGATGAGGCGCGTGAGGGGCAGTCCCAACAGTCTCCTGAGTGTGGTGGAAGATCGACTGGATGTCGACTGTTCCATTATGAGACACTGGACGATGGTTCACGTTACATTACGTTACAGTGGTGATGGTTCACGTTACGATGGACACCTGGAACACCAGAGGCGTTACAAGTGCGTTACCGGCTGTTTGGGGATTAGGAGTTTGAGGATCGTTGGGAATTAAGGGATTGGGGAGATTGGGGAAGGGGAGGGTAATTGGGCCTCCGGTAACCTCACTCACACGATGAAACACAACGCAAGCGTTGCTTCACGTCGGTTTTCTGTGAGGCCGTTGGTATCACTCCGGTCGAGCCGGCCTATTCGTGCCGAAGCATGGCACTCCCACAGTTAAAAACTAAAAACATGAAACATTAAAAGTTTTGTAGGCACTAGTCGCATCGCACGTGCCAACCGACGAGAAATATCTGTTCGAGAATTACATGGCGTGATGTTTTGATAATGTACTGAGTTCGTATTCTTTTTTTTTTTTTTATGGAAATAGGAGGCAAACGAGCAGACGGATCACCTGATGGTAAGCAATCAGCGC